GGCTCTGAGTAATGGTTATTTTTCGAGGGTTCATTTAGACACTCTCTATGGATTTCCCACAAGGGACGATGAGAATTTAGCTTTTGCTACCCTGACCCAACTCATACTATTTCCATAGCTCACATCTTTCTAATTATAGCACAATGATATTATAATTTCGTGAGATAAATATTCAGTGTTTATATTATTATCCTCATGTAATGATTTTTACAAACAATTCATTTAGTCAGCTTATTTTCCCTTTCCCTCACAACATTTCGCTTTTCTTAGAGTTAATGTTTGACCTTTTCTCCACTTGCTTAGTACTGTATGTACAAATCAGCAATTAAATAGCAAACCCTTTGCCAAATATTTAAATCTCCTTCCATGACTCATTTGCATGAAGGCTTCTAGTGATTTCTCTGCAGGAGGCTTCTGACCTCCTTCATTTGGCCTCTTGCTTTGTGCATAGCAGCTCCCAAGGTCCAGGAGCTGCCTTCACCTCTCCCTGTCTTGGTCTCCTTCTGTGCTTGCTCCCATTACTCCCTCATTTTGTTGGAGTGCATCCTCTAGTGGCTCCCCGAGAAAGCTGAACTGAAAGCAATTTTCTGTGACTTTGCTGGTTTAAGAATGTTGGTTGTACCTTTTTACTATCTTGCTAGTTTGAGAATAGAATTCACTGCTCCGTCACCTTTCCGCCTCCTCCCTGATAGTGGTTACAAATCAGTCTCATTTCTGAATCTTTGTGATACATTTTTTTTTCCAGAACAGAACAATTTAAGTAACATAGTGTTTCACCACAAGATAACCGGACATAAAGGTAGTTACCATAGTGCCTCTTTCCCTGAAATATTTGAGTATAACTTCATATACCATAGCATCAAACATAACAAGACAGTGTAAAACCATTCAAGAGAATAACAGTATTTAAGAATAACAGACTAACAGAATAACAGGGTATTTAGAGCCAACTAACAGAAAATGAACAATGGTTTCTATATTATCTCCTGATCTATAAAAGTTTTTGTTTGTAGTATCACAAACAATAAAATCCAATAAGATACAACATGTTAAGACCAATGGAGACAGAAGAACAAAAGCTGATGGCACTTCAAAACAAGATGATATTAAATCGACACTAGCTATTATGATGTCTTGTTTTCTTCAAAGTAACTATTCATGCCATCATTTTTACACCTCTGGAAACTTGTAGGACTTCTCTTGGTCCTTATTACATAGAAATTTAATAATGAAATGCTTTTCTACAATTCTTAGCATTTTCCCTCCATCGAATTAAACCTTCGATTATATTTTTGATGACTGCTTTTCTTTCATTCCATCAAATATCCTAGAAATCCTATTATAGTTTTATTATTTTTTTACTAGATGTCTTATGTTTAGTTTATTTCATATTTTACTACCTGATTTTTCATCTGTATACTTTCTGGGAGACTATACTATAAAACTTTCTATTAGATTTTCCTTTTGTTATTTATTTTAATTTTAAAATCTTTTTACTATCTGAATTTATCTCCAGCTTTTTTCATAGTTGCAATATTAATATTTTAAGGATGTAACTGATAAATATTTTTAAGGTTTTCTTCTCGCCAGTTATTCATGTAAAAAATTAGGATATCAGAAATTCTCCTTAGACACCTAGATGTCTGATAGGCTTTGGTTGTCTGACTATATTTCAGAAGGGAGGAAGGTGAACCTGAACAGGGGCATTAGACACACATATTGTAAGATATGTCAATTCTGAATTTAAAGGTAGGTGATTTGCCTGGGCTTTCATTGGAGAACTTCCCATGTTGGTACTTTTAGGTCTTTCTGGTTCTATGTCAGATTTCAAGTAGAGTCACTTTTGGTCTCCTTCCTGAGGTCCACATGTAATATATTCTGTCGACCAGCATTGTAGAATCAAAGAGAAAATAAAACCGAGGATCACCAGGCTGTAAGAAAACTTTTACTTACTTCCCATTTTAATGTAGTCTATGTATCTTAATTATGCTAAGTGATTTGCTGCTTTGTTTTAGAGCAATGGCTCTTAAGATTTGCTGGGGGACTTGTTAAATACCAGAAGACAGCCGTGTCTCTCTCTCCCTAGAGTTTCTTCTTAAGTAAGTGAGAAGTGGGACCCACAATTTGCACATCTGACAAGTTCCCAGAAATGCAAAAGGTGACTTCTAGGGACCAAAGAGGGAATGGACCCCAGGCTTTGCTGAATGAGCAGGAGGAACATGCCTGGCTCTTCAGAGTGGCTGAGATCTAATTGATCACCATACAGATTTTAGGTCAGTTCACTTGATTTTAACATCATCTTCACCTAAGTTTCCAGAATTTCTCAGTTGCCTATGAACGCCTTAGCTCTGGCAAGGGTTCTGTGGTAGAAACTTGATTGTCTGTCAACTTTTCTCACTGCTACTTTAGAAATCAGATTTCTTAAATTTACTAAGTTGGACACTTTATGTTTGATTTTTAACTTTCAAAAGTTTTGTTTGCTACTGTTTTGTCCCCTGTTTCTTCTTTCTTTTCTAATGGCTAGCTTTAAAAATTTCTTTCTTGTCAATTTAGTGAAATTTTAGGAGTGCTAAAAGTGTAGTGAACGTATCCAGTCCTCTGTCTTTAACTAAATGTCTTCATAGTTTCAACTCTGGAGAATTGTACTGTTCTATAAAATGCTACTGTTTTTTCATTTCCTGCATGCTGTTTATCAGAAACTCCAATAAGATATAGGCCTCCCAATCTATCCAATACCTCTTTGAACTGTGTTTTTTTTTTTTTTTTGCATTAATGAAACAAAGTCTTCTCTTTTTCTGTTTCAGCTGAGATGTGGGTAAATTCTTTGTTACCTTCTACTTTGCTGATTCTTATTTCAATTATGTCTGATTCAGAGTTTATTTGTATTTGCATCCAATAACCACATTTTCACCTTCTAAGAATGTGAACTGGTTCCTTTCCATATATACTTCTCATTCATTTCCTGACAATGTTAGATTCCCTTCAATAGGACAAAATACTTGACTCAAAACTTAAAGGAGGAGAAGTTTATTTTGGCTCATGGTTTTCAGAGGGTTCAGTCCATGGTGGATCAGCTGCAAAGAAGAAATTGCCTGATGACAGATATGATGAAGAAATTCTACTCCAGCCATGGCACTCAGGAAGGAGAGTGGAAAGGGAGCAGATGTAGACAAGAACACATCCTTCCAGGTCAGATCGTCAGTGATCAGCCTCTTCCACCAAATCTCACTGTTCAACACCACAGTCAGCTGTTAACTCATCAGTGCACTAATCTGCTGATAAGCATAGCACCCCCTGTGAGGCAGTCACCTTCCAAAAATGCCCCTCTCCCAACAGGAAACTCCTGTTTTGGGGAATAGTTTTGAACTAAACCATAACACCGACTTTTTGATTCATTGTTCCTTGTTCTTTATTTAATGGATTTATATCCTAATTGTTCTTTTTGAGAATTTTAAGTATGTGGACATCTTTGATTCAATAAAAATAGCTTTATTTGTAGAGAATACACAATCTAGTTTCTATTTTTGTTAGCTATCTTCATTAGGTTTTGGTTTCTTGTTTTATACTTTTGGTCAGTAGGATTATTTTACACAGGAGGTTTTCTTTTTTGACACTTTGTCTTCTATGTTTTGAGTCTCTCTCTCTGATGGGTTTTCATCGCTAGTTTTACTGGACCCAGACCCCTTATCAAGATTCACATCACCTGTTCCTTGGCATTATTTCAGAGCTTCAGTCACACAGGTGACTCAGTCTCTTCTTCCCTCTTTATCTTTTCCCCTGAAGAGAGCATGCATTTTTCTCTCTTCTACTATGTTGTAAGTTTTGCAAGAGCAGAGTGTCCAATTGGGGGAAGGTTGGGCTGCCTAGCATTGTCTGTCAGTCTAGGAGTTCTAGCCTGGGGTTCAGTGTCTGATGTGTTTCAAATGCCTAAAAATATGGTACTGTTATTAGTAATAACATGATACTTAGCCATCCAGGTACCTGACTCTATCTGTATCTTGGTACTGAACTTGATGGGGATATAGAGAAGTGTGCCTTTATTCCCTAAAACTCCCTAATGTCCATATGTTTAGAGTTGAAGGGTGTCATCAAAACCTGAACTTACAAATCTAACTTTATTGAAAGTATTTTTACTCCTCTAATGCTTTTATATTAAATCTACTCTAACATTCTCTTTTAGCTTATGAATTCAGTATGTTAATTTGAGGACATTGTAGATGTGTATGGAAGCATAATAGATGTAAAAGATAGAGGCTATCTAGTATATAGCACATATTTTACATATATTTTATAATATGTGTAACTGCTTATTATGTCAGTGTTTGTTTATATTTAACATATCTGCCGATTTCTTTGCTTGCCTTTGAAGCTAAATTTTTCCTTCTCGTTCCAATGTATTTCTTCAAAACATCATGTTAAATAGTTTTTAACATGAAATTCTTGTTATTGATAACTTTCATAGTCTTCATACGTGCAGACATATCTTTCTCCATATACAACTAAAGAGTGATACTGAGTTGTCTTATGGAATTCTAGGTGCTAATTATTATCTTTCAGAACATTGGATATAGTATTTTGTTATATTCTTTTTTCTTCTGTTTCTATTGAGAACTATTCTGTCAATCATTTAAATTATTAAATTATTTTTTCTCTTATTGCTTTTTAGATTTTTCCTTCAGAGTTTTACAGTTGCATTATAATGTATCTTCCATTTCTTTCGCTCCCTCTTTCCTTTTGTGTAATTTTTAAACTCGTGTATTGAGGTTTTCTTCATTTGTTTGTTTCAGTGGCTGAATTTGCTTTTCGTTTTTATTATTATCTTTGGTTAATTCAAAAATCTGCCTGATTTTTCTACTTAATGTCTTGTACTTTCCTCATATATTTCATTTTGTAAAAAATTTTATGCTTTTAATCTGTTAAATTTTTATAATTATATTTCTACAGTCATATTATTTAATATTCTTGGAAATACAACCTTGTTCTTTTTGTTTTTCCTGCAGACTAGACTCCTGGAGCAATAACCATCACATCTGTGCTACAAACAGCAGGATGAGCAAAGGCCAGGAGTGACAGGGAATATACCAGCTGTCTTTGGAGGAAATAGATTGGAAATTCCATACAATACTTTTCCTGGTATCTTATTAGCCAGAACATAATGACACGGCCATGTATAATTAGCAGGGACTTTGAAAATATCTAAATCCTCAGCAAAAGAGGAGAAGAGGATGGAAATTTTGAGATAAACAGTAAGTAGCCTCTGCTGTACTCAAATAGTTTATAATATTGTGTTATAAACATGTAGTCATTGGGGCTTTATATGCAGGACCTCTATGACATCTGCGTGAGGTACCATTCCTCCAGAAAAGGTTTCAGTCTTTTCTGTGCCAGGAACCCCAAGGTATCCCTTGCTTGGGATCTGTTTTTGTTGTTATTTCTTACCTTATAGGGTGATGTGGTGGCTTGAAAACCAATGGTCAACTAAAACATTAGCTGAACTGAATCAACGTGGTGCTGAGTGTAGATGGCCGGACTGAGGGCTGTTGCCAGCATAAAAAGGAGACTTAGAAAGGGTAGTGTTGTTGTTTTTGGAGCTTTTAGTTCTCCTGGAGGAGTTTGTCATGTTGGCTTCTCTGATATGAACTCGGCTGTTAGCACTGGAGGAGCTCGGACCTTGTTGCTGAGAATGGCTGTGGTTCACTTTGGGGGAGCTCTGGTCCTTACTTTGAACACTGCTTCTGGGCTCCAGAGGGAAGATATGTGCTGTTCAGTCTCCGGGAGAAGCTCGTTGTCATGGAGAGTGGCTGTGGTACTTTTTGGGTGAGCCCTGGTCCTTACTTTGAGCATGGCTTCTTGGCTCCTGTGCAGAATCCTTCATCCTGCTGGCACAGACTTTCCTGCGTCCACCACTGACCTTTGCACCTTCCCAGAGCAGGTCCATGAAACAGACTTGCATGAGTCATTGTCGTGAGCTCTAGGCCTCCAGTTAGACTCTCATGTGCTCTAGGTCTTCAGCTGGATTCATGCGGGACACTGCTGTGGGATCCAGGCCCTCAGCCGAATTCTCTAAGATTCTAGTGTATGGATAGATTTCCTGCACTTCCTTTGTATTTGACTCCTTGGGTGATCATATAAATAATATTATAAACTATGTGTCCTGTTTGTAATTCTTTTCTCTGCAAACCCCTGACTATAACAGGTGGTACACCAAACAATGGATTTCATAAATTTCAACCCTAGGCCCATGTGATTATGTCCTTAAGAGATATATCTTTTTTTTAAAATATATTTTTAATTTTTATTTTAAAGGGAGTACAATTAAACACAACAAAACAGAACAAAATAGAACATCAGAAAGCTATGTAAGAGATATAAATTTCAAAGCTAGATGACCTGAGATCTTCAATATCATACTGTCTTGTTTTCTTCCAAATAGTTGTCCATGTCTACACATACAGAGAATTCATACAAAACAACATAGTATAAAACTGATCCAAACAGAATAAAGAAGGCAATGTAGGTCTTCAAAACCAGAAAATAAGGAGTGGCTCTCATACAGTCTCTTGTTCTCTTCAAAATAGTTGTCCATACTTTCATATACATTGAAGTTCAACAAAATAAATCAGGCAGGGGGGGAGGCATTGCTTGGTTCCTGGCACTTCAAGTCCCAGCATGGCATGGGTCCCAGTAGGCACTGGTGGCTCCCGTCCAGTGGGCCACTGGAGCCTGCCATGCTCACAGCCGATCACCAGGGTGGGGGGTGGGGCGGTTGCTTGGTTTCCCAGTGCTCTGTGTCCCAGCATAGCACGGGTCCTAGTAAATGCCAGTGGCTCCCATCCTGGGCCACTGCAGCCTGCCACACTCACACAGCTGCTCACGGGGCAGGGGAGTTGCTTCAAGCTCTTTATTTCTAAAGAATTGACTATTTCACTGCCCAAGTTCTGACCAGACCTCAGAAAGACATCTCTTTAGACTCCTGCTTGAAACCAACAGTGCCAGGAAGCTGCTGGCCTTGATTCAGGGCCATAAGGGATATATTCTTGGAAAAGAGTTTTTTTGTTTTTGCTCCTAAAGTTTACTCAAGATAGATAAGCATCCTTGTACATAGATAGCAGATGGGGGGGGTTAAGTTTGTTCTTTTGCATATTGTGTAACACTTTGTGTACCCTGGCTTTATATAGGGGCCTCTGTTTAGGTGTCAAATTGTGCAGGACCAAGGTTTGGTCTTTGTTCCAGTGTAGGCATAAAAACACCAAGCACTTAGATCAGTGATACTAAGAGTCCCTATTTTTTCCCCTTTCCTACCTCCTCATTTATTTACCAGGACAGTTTCAGATGCAGCCTACAGAAGTGACAATTGCTCTTTATTTTAACATTTTGGAGGTAGATTTTACTTTTTTGAGGTAGCACAAGGTCAAAGGTAGGCTTTGTTTATCATTGCATTTAAGCATTTCTAGGGTTTTGGTAGAGGAAGATTTCAAATTAACATTTGACTTAATGAAGGAGATTGCCCCAAATATCTCTTTAATAAATTCTTCTCACATTTAAAATTTTTTTCTACCCTGTTTTTCAACACCAAGTAATACTGACCAATAGTATGTGTTTCAAATTTTCCCTCTTGGATCTGGGGCTGATTCTAGATGGTCTCTGAAATTTCATGTCTTGTTTGAGAGTTCCAGACAGATAGTGCTAGATGGCTGCTCCCCCATTCCTGATGGGACTCCTCAGTAGGCAGTTCACAATAGGTCAGAGATTCCACATAGGTCACATTGTTACCCCATGAACTTATCACTCTCCTGTGAAGGCTTTGCAAACTCCAGCTCTTATACTCCCCTGGCCAGAGATCAGCAGCTTGAGGGGTTCATACAATCTCATAAAGAGCACACTTGTTCCTAGGACAGACTGAAGTTCATCCCATTGACACCAACTTCAGTGAACAGTCAGAATTTGTCAGTAAGGTTTTGGAGCTTAGGGATGAAAACAGACTCATTCTACAGAGAAGGAAAGACCTCACATTCTGCAGGGTCCATCTTGGATCAGGTGCTTTCCAGGCCAGCTCTGAGCTGCTGTGGGGTCAGAAACAAGGCTCAAGGGTGGAGGAGGGCTGGAAGCATGTGGTATGGAGCAAAGCTCATCTTCCTTTTGGCCTTGGGACTGCCACTCACCTGCGTAGTCACTCTGGGATCCATTTCTTAGCATCATTCTCCTTACTAAGGAAGCAAGGATAAGGGTGCTGGCCACGCCTACCTTAAGTGGCACAAAGACAGATACTTCACAAGTGTGATATATGCTTGAGAGAAATACACATTGTTACCTTCTTAATTTGACAAATGGAGACACTGGAGCTCAGAGAGATGCAATGAATCCTTAGAGATAGCACACAATTCTAAGGCTGTGGCCCCCAGAACTCATTTCCTTTCCACAATGTCACCAGTATATAAATAAAAACCAGTACACAATAAAAACATGAAAAGGGGAACACAAATGTGTATTTCCACGTGACCAGCTGATCTGTGTATAGTCTGTCATTTACTCTGACAGTCTCAAGCCAAGGCTGGTTTTTTGTTATGCTTATTTTACAGATGAGAAAACTGGGTATCAACTATTGTCCATGATTTAGCCAAGGCAGCCTAGCAATTTCCAGAGCTGGAAGTTGAACCTGGCACTGTCTGATCACAGACCCTGTGTTCTTTCTCTGGTGGTGTCTTTCCATATAGTACTCTCCAGGTATTATTAGCATTTTCTTCTAAAATCCATATGCATTTAGACAAAGTTCAAATCAATTAGTTCACACTTTGCTGCTAAGACTCCTCTGTGCCAAAGGTAAGCAAGGTGCTCTGGGTTTTATGCTTTCAAACCCAATAAGGCCTCTTTCTTTGCTTGCATGACAGCCCAGAATTGAGAACTCTGGTGCATATGGTGTTTGCAAAATGCTAGTTGTGTATGGGTGTTTAAACTTTAGTTTTGCATCTTCTAATTTATTTATGCAAGCAAGCCGCCTTTCATGAATTTTAATCTATGCTGTCTTAAAGAAGTGCTTTCCAAATGGGACAGCATTTGTGATCACCACTAAGCCACTCTAACTGCTTGCAGGCCTGGGGAGAGAAGCAGCAGAGAATATTAGCAAGCTCTGCACTGTCCCTGTGTCATCTCAAGCATTGTGGCGTAAAATGTACTTCGTGTCTAGGAAAAGGAAAAAAAAAAAGAAAGAAAGAAAACGAAACAACTGTGACTCGGGTCTTTGGTTATTTTTAATGCTGAACAGCAGAACCACAGGGAATTATTATGAGTTCCAAGATTTCTGACAAGAGGGACTCACCACTGAAGTGCTTTCTTCAGGAGACAGAGAGACTTTGCTACGAGTCTTTATTCATTTATTTATCATGCTTCAGTTCCTAAAAAAAGAAAACACTTCTCCTGTGCAGGGAAAATTGCTTCAATGGATAGATTGCATTTAAATAATTTAAGTATAAAATTACTACAACAGGCCGACTGATATTCTGAAAATGAAACAGTCACAATCACTTAAGCGCACTGGCAAAGTTCATGAGGAGGTGTGCGGATGAGGCACTGGAGGGCTTCTGGAGACCTTGGGGAGGATTCTAAGTCATGTCCCCTGTCTCCCCCAGAGGAAGGCGCTTCGACACATGTCAGGTCCTACAGGGACAGGATGGACCAAGCAGATTTCAAGGTCTAGAAAAAGATGTAAACTGAACATGATTTCTGAGCTTTAGTCTGTGTTGAATGGCTAAATGAAACACAAGACACCTCGGATCTGTGTTCACAAGCTCTGACTTCAACTGTCGAGCCCTCTTCCCAGCCTCCATGGTCCTAGAGATTCTTGCCTGTGCCACGGGAAATCAAGCAGACTTTAGGGCTTTTGAGGCAGACTGAGGTTCCAGAGACAACCTAGCCTGTGCCCTGCCGTGTAATTATCAACAAAGAGCATCTTCAGTGCATTGCCCCATGCTTGTGGGAGGCCATTCCCCCCGAGATGCCTTGTGGGCCTCAAGAGGGTCTCCCATCCTCAGGGACCACACCAATCTTGGCACAGCTCTCTGCGGTCTGCCCCTTACTGCCCATATACAACCTTGTGAGACTGAGCCGATAACATTTCTTCAGTTTGGTTTCATGGTCCAGCAGGATCCTGAAGAACCTGGCAAAGGAACAGACCCTGTGGTCAAAGGCAAGCAAGATGCTACACACTGCATGACTGTGGCAATTCTACAAGCACCTTTGCATGCCAAAG